GATCTAGAAATGATACATTCAACACAATTTTTCTCCAAATTGATGATACCAAGAGGCGAAAGTGTAGTTCAAGAAATTAGAATATACGGTTTGGATGCAAAAATCATCAAGAAACAGCAAATTGGGCAAGAAATACAGGACTTTTTGTTAGAGAAAAATAGAAAATTACAAGAATACTCTCTGTCACAGTTCAAATTTTATACTGATAGATCATTAAGAAATAGTAGAAGACAATCTCAGTTAGAATCAAACAGAATGGAAACAAGCTGGATACTTGTAGATGAAGAAGAGAGAGAAGTAATCGATGAAGGTTATTTTGGAGCAAGAAATTGGCTATCTTTAACAAAAGCAGAGTTACTTAGAATTTGGTGCATACTGCTTATCATATCTAGCAAAAAGAGGATCAAGATTTATACAGACAGTGTGGTAGCTATAACTAAGGTAGAAGGAAGAAAACAAAAAAAGGCCAGCAAGGCAATGGTATAAGGAGAGAAACTATGATCTGGTAAAATGCATTTTAGATATAGTAAAAATAAAAGAATTACGATTAAAATTAGAAAAGGTTAAAGGCCATAGTAATAATAGTTGGAACAATAAAGCAGATAAATTAACTAGATTAGGATCTAAAATAGAAGATAGAGATAGAATTATAGAAAAACCTCCTCAGGAGTCAAACATCACTTTATATTAGAAAGAGGCAGTAGTCAAAGACCCTACAAGAGAATTTCTATGAATGGTTCTTAACCTCAAAACAGGAGTAGAATGGAAATCTTCTTTGGCTATAAGAAAATTAAAATCTGAAAACAGCGTACAGAACCAATACTGGCCCATTTTATAGAAAAGGATCAAAGAACAGAGTGGTGTATGATATACAAGTTCAAGGAGAAACAAGCATCTAGGTGTGCTGATCAAATGCTTATATGAAAAACTACCAGTACTTAAAACATTATCAGCCAGAAAACTATAGTTATATAATAGTTCTATATGTATAATATATGAAAAAGGTAAAGAAGAAGACCAGAAACACTTGATGACATGTAAGAAGTACGAAATTAAATGGAAGGATGCAGAGCAACTAGCCTCGAACTTGGCCTAGACAGCCCTATCAGAAGAAACTCGCAGTCACCTTGACAGAATACAGCTCAAGAAGACTTTGTGGCGTTCATTAAAAGAAGAAAAGAATGAAACCAGAGCCAGCATACTTAAAGGTTTGATTAAAAAAGAAGTTGTGAAAAGAATCCTCGAAATGGTAGAAAGTTTGAAAGAACTTAGAATCTATGTAGATACTGTGATCAACTCAGCTTAGAATTATTTTTACGAAAACATTTAGAAACCAAGATGTGCATATATAAATGAATGAGAAAGGAAGAAAGGAATTGGCCCAAAAGAAAAGAAAGAGAAAAGCTCTAGTTCTGAGAAGCCAAATCCTAGCAATAAAGAGGAAGAATCGATTCTAAAAGAAGAAAACAGTTAAGATCAAACCAAGGGGAAAGTTAAAAAGAAAGAAAATGATGAATGCAAAGAGGAGGAAGTAAAAGAAAATATTTGGTTTGAAGCAATTAAAAATTTTATTAAAAATAAAATGAAGCTATTCTGGTATAGCTTCATAGGCTAGCTTGGTGCAGCACTCTGATGCAGGCATATACCTTATCTGGTGAGGCAGACTGTCTCTGGGCACTCAATAGAGTAGCTGGGGAATGTTGGATCTGTAGCTTAGATAGTTGAATATATGTTTATATATATGATTTGATCTAATAAAGATATTGGCGAAGCTGCCAATAGTTTAAAATATATATATATATATATATATATATATTACTAATATATATACAAACTACAGAACTTTTTCCGACGATTCCTTGGTCAACAACAAAACAAACTGAACTACAGAAAAATGTTATAGGAAAGCAACAAAGTGGACATCTAAATATTCCTAGTACTATATAAACATACTTGCTGTCGACGAAACTTTGTATACGTGAAACACTGAGGAGCGGGCGTATAAATAACAAGTGGGTTGTGCCTTTAGGTCAAGCTTTTAGTAGACTCCTTCGCACTTTCGACATCCAAACCAAAAGGATATTTTGG